TTTGCTCTCCAGCCTTAGCACAAAGAACTGTGGCTTCCTCAAGAGAAGGAGCGGTAAAGATGCTAACTGTATGGGAACATCAGGCACGTCGCCAAAATATTCCTTGTGTTTGGCACATGTGGAGTCAGTCCGGGTGCAGGCAGCGGCAGGGGAGCTGCAGACAATTTGGCTGTCTTCCTCAGGGGGGTTGCGCCAATGCTATTCTGCCTGTGACTTTTGGTCTCTAGGGAGCAAAGTTCCTTGGAATTGACTGCTTCATAGCAGTCTATAAAAACGAGCTGTTGGTCTTTCTCCTCTTAGTTTTAGCAAAGAAGAAATTGAATAGATATGGGCAGGAATATACTGGAATCACTAGGGTTGAGGTTTATCGGCATGACAATGCTTCTGAGGATGGGAATGCTACAGAGGGCAGCAGCTCTTCCCTGCTCACCCTTTCCGTATTCTGTTCTCAGGAAGCAAGTTGCCTAGAGAAAGAATATGAAGCTTCATCGACTAAAAGTGCCAAAGAAGAGAATCTTTCCCTCCAAAAGCTGATAAGAGATATAACTGAGGTGAGTACAGAGTTGGGACCAAATGCCTGTAAATTTGATTTAAAAGTACTTGAGGAAGGCAGCAGACTAGCCCAGGGAATAGCTGCCTGTGTTGTATGCTGCCCGTGTTAACTGCTACTGGCTGTTTAATTTTTATACCACTTTTCTGACATAAAACCTGTTATAACTTCCAAGTTGACCATCCTGTGACTCTTCAGCTGAGTCGCTAGAAGTTTCAATACCTTTGCCTTCGCCATCCCACTCGGGTCTCTCTTGGACTGTGCTTTCTGAGTTGGCTACTTGATGTTTGTGTTCCAGTGTTGCTTGGAGGTTTCCCCCACCCTCCTTGAGCAATGACTGTTGTTCTTCAGATTTTTATAAACGGTCACTGACTCAGGCAAAGGACTTGCCAACTCTGCTCCTTCACTCTACATTCACTGACCATTATGTCCCCAGAATTGCACTGGTCTAACTGTTTAGGGGTAACTTTAACTGAGGCCTAAACTTCACTCTATGCAGTGGGGCTTAATCATCAAATCTTTTGCACAGCCTCTGACAAAGTTAGTTCTTTTCCCTTATGTAGTCATTTTTATCCTCTCGTGCTACTGCTCGGAGTAATTACGAATATCAGCTTTTTCATTGCTGTTTTCTAGAATTAATCAGCTTCCCTCTTCCCTGGCCAGCGTTAAAGTTTCCTTTAATTGCTGTTTACAGTGTTGATCTGGTGCTCATGTATGTGGCTCTAAGAAGCTGAAGGAGACCAAAATAATGCCTGAGAGCTTCAAGAAACTGAGCGTTCAGGAAGTTTCCAGCCACTTCACACTTGTTTCTTTTTGTTTATAGTAGCTGTATTCAGAAATCCCTGGAGTACTTGTGGCCACAGGGACAAAACTTCTTTGTTGACTGAAGAAAGGAGAGAATTGAGTTTTTAATGACTCTAGGGTGAAGTGGGGGAAAAAGGAGAAATAGATAAAAAAAACCAAGTAGAATGAGCAAAGAGTAACAGCTTGATGTGGGCTTTCAGATGGTGTTAGATGACAGTGACAGCACGGTCAGCATTATCTGCACGGACAGTTCCCAGCATGCAGACTCTAGCAACATCCTCTCTTGTCTGAGCTGCGTTGACGCAGAGCATGCCTTTGTATTGGTTCAGGAAGCACTGGCAAGGAGGCGAGGAGCAACACAGGTGAGAATTTCTCTTTGTCCTTACCACTGGCCACAGGCTCAGCTGCTAATGCCTCACTTAGCTTGAAACCTTTCCATTTCCTTAGCCAGTTTAGCTAGTTTCTTTCTAGCCTTCCCACTCTTGGTACCAAATTGTCTTGTCGGTCTCACCACCTCTGTGTTCTCCTGCTTTTCTTTCCTTGATCTCCACCCCTTCATCACAGCTTTTGCTTCAGGTGAGCTGTCTCTCTGCTTGCTGCTTCTCCCAGCTATCTAGAGCCATCTTCCCTGCTCCTTATTGCTTGTTTGTGCTCTTCCATGCCCATTCCTTGCAGGCCCTAAAAGAAGAGCTTTCTGCCAGGCAGGACTCCATCAATTTCCTGCAGCACCAGCACAGACAGCAGGAAGAGAAGTGCAGGAAGCTGCAGCAAAGGCTTGAGCAACTGGAGGAGGAATGCAAGACATCCAGCAGTGACCAGCAGCACCTCCAATCTCTGGTAGAAGCACTCAGAAGGTGAGTATTTCCTCCTTCTCCTGTGTTCTAGAGGCAATCTGCTTCCACTTCTGGGAGTTCAGAGGTGTTATGGGCAAAGAACTCGCCTGCCCTAGCATGTGTATGCCTCCTTTTGGCACTTCAGCATCCTCCTGTCACTGCTTTTCATCCTCTACTGTGAATCCTGAGGCTGTCTTGGAGATTCAGGCTGATGTTGGAATACAAGACGCCTCCCTCTTGACATGCTGCTTCTCTGAATTCTGTTCTTTGGGTGCCCTTTCCTAGCCACTGCTTCTCACTGAATGAAGGCAAAAGCCTGCCTTCCTTTCCCTCTTCAGTTACCTTGTGAGGGGAAGAGCAAGTTCTTCCTTTCCATGCTCCCCACAACTCCCTCCTGGAATGATGAAAATGGGATCCATGACTCTTCACGCCTCTTCATTCTTCTGACTGAGCCTTGTCTCTGCAGTGACTGTGCAAACCTCGAGAAAACCAGGGAAGAGCTACAGCAACAGCTTGAAGTAACAGAGCAAGAAGCCTCGCGTCTGCGTCGAAGTAACACTGAACTGCAGCTTAAGGAAGATTCAGCCCAAGGGGAGAAGGTGGAGCAGCAAGAGACGATGGAGAGAGCGCGTCGTGACCAGGAGCTCCTGTGAGTGTTAAAGCTTTCTCTGGGCAGGGGTGGGCATTGCTGGACTTTAGGAGGCCCACCGTAAAAGAATGAATTTTGTATGCTCATCATTTGTAGTATAGAAGGGTGAAGGGAGCACGTGGGCAGGTCTGGCTACCTACTGACATACAGCATAGCTGCCTCCTTGTACTCGCTTCATGACCCTTTCCAAAAATCATTCCAAACCTGACCAGAGCAGTTGATGACAGGCATAAGCTGAAACAAGAGAGGTTCGCACTGTATTTAAGGAGAACAAAAAATTGAACTGTGAAGGCAACCATGCAGCAGAACAGGTTGCTCAGAGAGGTTGTGCAGATTCCATCCCTGGAAATTGGGAAGACCCAACTGGACAGAGCCTTGAGCAACCTGGACTGGTCCCATAGCTGACTCCAGCTGCTTTGAGCTGAAGATTGGGCTAGAGACCTCCTGGGGTCCCTGCCAGCCTGAATCATCCTGTGATCCTGTGGTTATTGGATTGGAAATTCATGCACATCTCCTCCCCAAACAGATTGCAGGGTCTGTCATAGCTTCACTGCCGAAGGCAAGAGTAATTCTGGGAATATTAATTTGGATTTAAAAAGTCTGTCTTACCCAAAGAAGAACTTTGGAAAGTCTTGTATCCAATGTATCAAAAAGAGAGAGAGAAATAAACAGGCAGGAAGCTGTTAAGAGTACCTGAATTTTTTGGGAACATTCAGTGATTTCTGGAAGCTTGTTTTACTTTCTCAGTGATGAATGTTTCACCTACATCAATGACAAATAGTGATGCAGCTCTAGTCAGGAAATTCCAGTATTCTTTAGGTGTAAATAGAAAGCTGTTGGAAATCATTCAAACTGCCATATCTGAGACATAGTATGTACTCTTGGTTTTGCCAATGAGAATGTTTTTACATTAAAAACTTGTCTTTCCTCTTCTCATAGACTGAAGGACTTAGCTGCACTTGAAGGAAAACATTCCTTATTACAGAGTGAGTTGGTAGTTGTGAGAGAGACACTGGAGGAATCGCACCTTCAGAGGGATCTGCTGAAGCAAGAGAAACATGAGCTTACCATGGCACTGGAGAAGGTATGGTTGCCTTATTCCTAGGTAGCCCTTGTGGGAGAGGGAGTTGTGATAGCAGGACCACCACAGATGCTGTTTCTGGCAGTAGAAAACAGGGAAAATGTTGTTATCCTTCTTGGAAAATGGTGATCAGACCACACAGGCTCTTTAGGGTAGTTAGTCCCCACGTGCCTGTTGGGAGCACTGCACTGGGAGTATGTCACAGATACACAGGGGTGTGGAGTTGCTGCTTGAAGTCAGGGATCTCCCTGCCTTAGTTGTCATGTCGTTCTTTTGTCTCTTCAGGCAGAGCAGTCAGTAGCAGAGTTGACAGGGGCTCAGAATAAGCTGACTGCTGAAATAGCTGATCTACGTGTTGCAGCAGCGAACATGAGCAGTATCAACGAAGCCCTTGCATTGGATAAAGTGCAACTGAACAAACTTGTGCTGCAGGTGAGCAGAGTTGCCAAAGATCTTGCCAGGTCTTTGTCTCAGCTGCTGCTGCTTCTCAGACCTCTTGCCTTCAGACAGTACGACTGACTGACTATGGAAATGTTGTTCCTTTCTGTGTCCGAGCCAAACCTCCTACAGAGTAAGTCTTACTGTATTTTATTTCCTCTGTGCTTCTGTGATTGTAGCTGGAGCAAGAGAATGAAGTTCTGTCAAGAAAAGTGGATGAGATGGAGAGAGCAAAGATCTCTGACCAGGAGAAGCTGAACTTGTGTAAAAGAACAAACGAAGAGCTCTGTGCAGAGAAAGCCCACCTGGAGCAGCTGCTGAAGAAAGCAGAGGAGCAACAGGAGGGGCTGCGGGTACAGCTGACGATACTGGCAGAGGAGAAGGAAGAAATGCAAGAGAAACTCGGTCAGGTGAGACCAAAAACCTGGTGCTTCTGGGTGGGCATTTGGCTGCTTGGCTCAGTGAAGCTGTATCTGTTGGATTCTGCAGTGGTTTTGTCAAGGAGACACTTGGTAGTGCTGGAGGTCAGAAGGCTTTTTTTTACTTCTTTTTGGAAATGTGTTGATGGCTTGCAGAGCTGTTCTGCAATTCTCTGAGTTGTCCCCTGCTTCTACAGATTCTTCTAATCCACCTGTCTGTTGGCCTCTTTTTTGGCTTTTGATAAGCTGTAAAGAGATGATTGTGTTGTCCATGAATCCGAGGGGGGCTACTACTCTCACATGTGGCAAAAGAAACAAACTCTGTAGCTCTGAATCTGTTTTCTGAGGCAAAACCAGGGCTGCATGTTTCTATGCTTTTTGTTGTGAAGTCTTTAACTTTCAAAACCCCATTTGTTTGAGCCTAGAGGGTAGGACAAAGCTGCAAGTCAGTGTTTGCTGTCTTGTATTGCTAAGAATGGGAATGACATCTTGAAATTATTAAAATTGTATTTTAAGACATACATGCAATTTCGTGGCTGGAAAGCTGCCCAGTGGAAAAGGACCTGGGGGTGCTGGTCGACAGCCGGCTGGACATGAGCCAGCAGTGTGCCCAGGTGGCCAAGAAGGCCAACAGCATCCTGGCTTGTGTCAGGAATAGTGGGGCCAGCAGGAGCAGGGCAGTGATTGTGCCCCTGTACTCGGCGCTGGTGAGGCCACATCTGGAATGCTGTGTCCAGTTTTGGGCCCCTCACTCCAAGAAGGACATTGAGGTGCTGGAGCGTGTCCAGAGAAGGGCGACGGAGCTGGGGAAGGGTCTGGAGCACAGGGCTGGTGGGGAGCGGCTGAGGGAGCTGGGGGTGTTCAGCCTGGAGAAGAGGAGGCTGAGGGGAGACCTCATCGCTCTCTGCAACTGCCTGACAGGAGGGGGCAGGGAGGGAGTGTTGGTCTCTTCTCCCAATTGATAGGATGAGAGGAAACGGCTTAGGTTGTGCCAGGGGAGGTTTAGATTGGATATTCAGAGATACTTATTCACTGAAACATTTATCAAGCACTGGAACAGGCTGCCCAGGGAACTGTTGAGTCCCCAGCCCTGGAGGTATTTAAAAGATGCGTAGATGTGGTGCTTAGGGACGTGGTTTAGTGGCGGACGTGGCATCGTTAGGTTTATGGCTGGACTCGATGATCTTAAAGGTCTTTTCCAGCCTAAATGATTCTGTGATTCTGTGAATTGTTAGACCCTCTTTAGGCTTTGAGGAAGAAGATGAGAAATAGGTGATCACACAAGACACTTCACTCTGGCCTAACCAATTTCGGTACCCTGGAAAAAGAGCTTGGGAGAATCATGTCACTGGAGGAGACTAGGGAGTTTGTCATAATTTAAATGTCAGTTTCATAATGTACAATCTTGGGTATTACAGGATAACTTTGAGAGGAGAATTGTTTGTTTCTGATGGACTGTTCTCTGTTAGTCTTAGTTTTGGAGTACGTGGTATGTTTGGCAAATACACAGCAGAGTGTTATACTGAAGAAAAAAGCTAAAAAATCATGGTTAATCTTCAAGCTTGAATAGCAGCAAGGTATATTAGACAACTTCTTTGTGTGAGACAAGTAAACGGTAGTGTTGACACGAACTGCTGTACAAACAGAGCCTACCATCTCTTTGGCCACATCAGCCACGTTTCATAAATCACTAACGACACTGCTCACCACAGGGGCAGTTTCCCTGCCAAGCATCACCTCATTGCATCCAACTGCTTTACGCACTGAAGTAGGTGACACTTGGATCTCTCTTTTTTTTTCTTTTTTTTCCTAGAAGGAGAAGCCATGTGTATTTTCACTTTCTTCAGTAAGCAAAGTTGCTTTTGCTCAACCTTTTCTGAAAATTTCCAGCACTGGAGTAGATTCTGATAAGAGTCTTAGTTTGCAAGGTGGCCGTTCTAGAAAATGCAGTGTTTTTGCATGAAAACATGTAGTCTGGGGTATGTATGTTTGTCACAAAGGAGCTGTCTGGTCCCAGGCAACCCAGTAGGGCCTTACACATCCCTTTCAAGTTAACAGTGCCAGTGCCTTTTGGCAGCCCAGGGTATTAGTGCGATATACAGCAGATGCTCCTAAACTTTCAGCCCACAGTACAGGAGCTCTTTCTCCTCTAGCTGATTCAGAAGTGGCACTGGCTGGCTCTGCACAGAACTCCAGAGAAAGAACTCTTAACTGTATTTTTGTCCCGCTTTCAGGTTTCCCGCCAGCAAGAGTCCGCTAGCAGTGGTCTGGAGCAGTTGCGCCAGGAGTCCTCTCGCCAAGGGCATGCACTGGCCAAGGTGTCCAAAGAAAAGAAATTGCTGGTGCATGAGAAGGCCGCCCTAGAGGTGCGACTGGCAGCTGTGGAGCGGGACAGACAAGGCCTTTCAGAGCAGCTGGCAGAGGCCAGGTAAAGGCAGGGAGGAGACCCTAGGCAGGACATTATTTAATGTCTAATTATGAAGGTGGTAATCATTACATGAGGATTTATTGCATCCTGTGTGCTCTTCAGATGTTTTCACCTTCCATGGACAGAAAATGGAAGAATCTCAAGCAAAAAAAAAAAGTATACCATGATTTGAATGTTGTTTTTCTGACACCTAAAGCTAGCAAAGCTCTCCTGAGCCTTGGGCTCATGTTTATCCCCTTTTGCACATTCCTGTGTGAAGTCCAAAGCAAGCCAGCTTGGCTCTGAATTGAGAATAACTAAACCATGCAGACGTTTACTGAAACCTGAAGTTTCTCTCTGGTTTTGGTTTCTTGTTCTGTGCATTTGAACACAGAACTTCCCTTATCAAGTAGTTTGATGTGGGATCTTCAGAATTCAAGGCTGTTACATACGGATGTTGTGAGTAAGACACTGCCATTTAGGGTGAAGCTAGAGGCTCATGCTGAAAATCTTGAGGACCACCTGTTTCTAAGCTAACTCTTGTTAAGTATGGTGCAGGACCTAGAGTTGGTTACACCAGAAGCAGGGAAAGCTCTTTGGAATTCTCGATAGCCTCTGGGGATTCTTGCCCATCATTGATGTCTGGGTCCTGTACTACTTACCACATGCCGTTCAGAGAGGGGCGTCATGGAGAAGTTAAACAGGGAAGGAACAAGATTCTGTCCTTCTGTTGTATTAGGTTTCTAAGATCAAATGTGACAAGTTCTGCTTTTCCAGAGAGAAAGGAAAAAAAAAAAGTATTGAGTATTGTCCTCCTCTTAGGTGTTTTTTAGAAGACTCCTGAACTTGCAGAGCTGTAAAAGTGATGTTTTAGAGATTCTTTGTCATGCTTCATGACTTTTACGCTTTACCACTCCATAGTATGTTGTTAGCAAGGCTGATGAATGCCATTTTGACTCTGTGTGTTTCTTGAGAGCTGCTGCTGCTTCTGAGCTCCAGCTTCTCTTATTTGATCCAGCTGAATTATGTTTGGTCAATTATTGGGCTGTTATTAAATTATTAAATGTTCAGCTCCTTTTTTTTTAAAGGGATACATTATTTTTTTAAAAAGAGATAAATTAGTTATGAAGAACCTTTGGCAACAGGTAATGAAAAATCAGCAACTATTGTTGCCAGATGTTGTTCTCAAGAGCCTTTTGTTGTCACAGTTTTGGACTCTCTTTTCTGCTCTGTTTTAGAGACGTGACTTCTATTTATCCTTAAAATGGAGGATATTTACTTTGGACTGCCAGAGATTGGCGTAATCAGAAATATGTGCTTGTTCTCCATCTTGAAGATATATCCTCCATTGTGCATCAAAGTATTGAAATCCTACTGTTGTGGGGTTTGTTGTTGTACCACTCAGGTGTTCCTTTACCTTGAAGGATGTGATCCTGGTTGCGTCCCTGTGCTAGTGAGGCAGTGCTGTGTATTGTAGGAACCTGGCACACAGGACACTGTGTTAGATCAGGGAGGTAACTGCAGCTCCTGGTGCCAGAATCTGGTGTGTCATACGCAGCAGTCAGTTGAAGTCTATGGATGTAACAGTTTGCATCTGCAGTCCTACAACTTCCATTTTAGAGAGCGACAAGTCATTTGGGCTACTGCCTACTTAGGTAGCAACACTTAAAGAAAAGTAGCAAGTTTTTCTCTTAAACTTCCAACAGTTTAAACTGAAGGACACCTGTCTCTCCTGTCAGATAGTTCTTGTTCAGATAAAATCTAGTTCTGATTTCTTACAAATGCTGCTAGAAGCATGAGATTTTACTATATCATCTGATGTATTTCTTTAGTCCCTTTTAAACCTAGGGAGTCTGGAAAATTACCTACCTATACCTACACTATGAACAGCATTAAAAAGTCATGGGTCAGCCAGGGAAATACTCTTATTCTGTCCCCCTTCAGAGCAACTTGGAAGTGCTGATGAGATGAGGGCTGTGAGCAGAGACTGGGCTTTTGCTTGCTGGCACAGACTGTGTGGGCACAGCTACCGGCGTGTCATAGATCAAACTACAGCAATTTAAGATTTGGCTATTGAGATCAAATTTGGCTGGGCTTTCTGTGTTATGCTAGGTCATAAGGAAGGCCTGGACATTCCCATGGAGGGGCCTGCATTGCTATTTTAAACAGTAGAAATACGTTTTCTGTATGCAAGTTTCCATGCAACCCATTTTCCATACTCAGGTGTAGGGATCTTCTTACTGGAATAACTCCCTGTGGGTGTCAGGAGCAAGAAACTCATTTCTGTATTCACAACTTGCAGGTCAGTGAAGGAGACCCTGGAATCCAGCCTGTTTGAGACTCAGCAGCGCTTATCTCAGCTGGAGATCGCCAAGAGTCAGCTTGAAATCCAACTTCACACAGTCACGCAGGCCAAGGATGTGATACAAGGTGAAAGCTTCATGTGCTTTGTCTCTGGTGATCCCCCTACCTAGGGAAGATGGTATAAAGATAGCTCTCTGTCTGCAGTGCTTCTGAGGAGTGAAGGAGCTGGAGGCAGATCCCTCCTACACTGAAATTCAGATGGCTTAAGGTCAGTAAAGCCAGAACCACTGTTTGTGTAGATTCTGAATCTTGCCGTTTGTCGTGTTTGCAGGGGAAGTGAAGTGCCTTCAATGTGAGCTGGAAGCAGAAAGATCTCTCATGAAGCAGGAACGGGAAAACATGGCACAACAGCTCTTGTGGACAGAACAGCAGTATAACAGTACCCTCAAACGTCGGGAAACTGATCATGAAGTGGAAATAAACAAGCTCCTGCAAGACCTGGTAGGAAACAATATGCTTTTGAATTCTTCTAGTAAGCTTTGTGGGGTGGCTTTAGAAGAATAATAGCCTGAGCGTGTGAAATGGCAGCAGTCCTCTGTCATAGGCCACACGTTGCTAGGCCAGGCAGCAGAGCCAATGGCTCGTGCTTGAAGGCACGTGAAGACCCACAGGACTATGCTGGGACAGTAAATGCAGCCACAGATTCAGTGTGGGCGTAAGACGAGTAGAACAGAAGGTTGAGTGGTCCCCACCCAAAGCATGGCAGCAAAGGGTGAAGTAGACTCCTAACATTGCTGCCAACTGCAGTCATGGGAACTTTGTTCCTTTCTTTCTGTGCTTTCACAGTTAACAGAGGTATTATCTTTGGGCTTGAAGCATATGGAACAGGCTCCTTGATCCTGGTACTTCAGTTCGTGGCCTGTCTTGGGACTAGGGCATTGGGGTACTGGCCTCTTTCTCACCCTGTAGTCCATCTGCACCTTTTCATTGATGAAAAGGGAGGTGAGCTTTGAAAATAGAGACTCTGAGAACAGAGAGAAATCCTGAGGAGAGAGGTGCTAGGAAACCATCAGAGAAGGGAAGGTAACGTCTCCTTTTCTTCCACCTGCTGACCATCTTTTTAAGTTCCTTGATAGGACATGATTTATGGAGGGCACAAAGCCACTGCTGTCCACTGTTGAGGTGGGGGGTTGTGGGAAGGATGAAGCTTCACATTTTTTTGAGGAGCTTGGCTGGGACTTCATTTTGAAGTCTTCTCCTCCCGTCATCAGGCAAGTGAGCGGGAAGGGCACCATTCAGAGCTGCAGGAGATGCTGGAGCGATGGGAAAAGGAGAAGGCGGAGACAGAAGGGGAGCACAAGAAGCAGCTGTTTGATATGAAGCAGAAGGTTGCTACCATGCAAGCTCAACAAGAGGAGGAACGAACCAGAATTGAAAACGCCAAGCAAGAGGTAAAGACTGTGAAGGGAAGATTTGTGTGGTTTTTTGCAAGGCTAGAGCTGTGGGAGATGGCTGGATATTGGGCTGTGTGGAGCTTGCCCTACGTGTTTTATGCATTGAATTTGGTAAGGTGAAAGGTGTGAAAGTCTTTGAGTCTTGCCACACAAATTTTGTATGGGGAGTGTAAACCCATCTTCTCTTTATTTCTGTGCAGGTCCTGCTAGAAAAGGAGAGTGAGAAGGACGCTTTATTAGAGACGCTACTCCAAACTCGGGGAGAGCTAAGAGAAGCCTACCAGCAGCTAGACCAGCTCAGGCAGGGGGTGAAAAAGCAGCAAGAGAATGGGCAGGTAAGTCTGACTGGTAGGGTAGGTTGAAAGAACAGGCTGTTGGCCATTGGGCTTAAGCTGGGAGAGCCAGGTAACAGAGTGAAGGGCAGTAACAAGAAAATAAAACTTAGGTCCGGGGACTGAGCAGGCAAGGAATACTGCAGGTATGGAGCCTGGTAAGCTCCAGAGATTAGCAACGGGAAGGAAGGGTTACAGTGGAAGCAGAGCTGGGTAGAAAAGCAGAAAGAAGTGGCTGAATGAATGTGATTCTGAGACAGAAAGAGGAAAAAGCTGAACCTGATGGCAGGTCCCAGTAACTTGCTCTCTATTTGTGTTTCCAGAACATCACAGAAAAGCTGGAAGCAGAGCTGCAGGAAACTCGGAGTAAGATCAAGGCAGTGGAGAAGAGGCACAAGGAAGAAATCAAAACCATCAAAGAGGAAATGAATAGTCTTCTTCAGCAGAGGGATGCTCTACAAAAACAGGTGACTGAGGCAGCAATAGCTACTCCAGTCATCAAACAGGTGGTCTCTCCACTTCTTGCCTTTCCATCGCAGAGCAGGCAGATGGGGTAATCCCTCTGACTGCTCTCATACTGTGGTCTCCATCTCAGCTGGTCTGAAGGAGACTTATTGGCCAGCTGAATCTCAGCTGCTGGCCTGGACAGATGAGCTAATCCTTTTGCCTGTTTGCCAGCAATCATCAGAATAGATTTCTGGTGGCCTGTTACTGCTAGCCTTGTGTTTTAAGGTGGTTTTTCAGATGAACATGGTGACCCACTTAAATTTTTTTTAAACAAGTTGGCTGTATCCATTGTGAATCTGGTACTCTCATGACAGGGTGAAATTTAAAGTTGTTCTTTCCCTTTCCTCACAGTACATGATATGGCTGACAGTGAAAAGCTGTAGTCTTTGACTGCTTTGTTATGTTTTACTTGAGGTGGAAGAGCTGACGTCTCAGCTAGCAGCCTCTGAAGAGTCTCTAAAGAAGGAGGCTATGACTCTACATCAAGAGGTGGTGTCTTTGGAAAGAAAACTTGAGAGCACTGAGAAGAAAAGAAAGGATGTCCAGGTGAGACTGGCAGATGCCGTGAAGGGCCATTTCTTATGTATTTTTTGGCCGTCTGTTAATAATTCTAAGGAGCAACTTGTTTTTTGGTTTAACTTTTCCAATTGCATTCTTCTGAATAAGTAGGAAAAGATGCCATAGCCATATAAAACTCAGTTATGATTCAGGGTGCTTATTTTCCTCAATTTTGAAGTTTTCTGCCCTTGAAGCTTTAGTCAAAGTAATTTTCAAACTTGTCTCTATTTACATTGCATGGTTTGGGCAATAATTTGTGTCCAAATCCATATTTAGATTTCTAAATGTCTGGATCTAGAAAAAGGGATGAGAAGACAAAGCTTGCTAATAATAGAAAGCTGTTCAACATTGCTCATCTGAGAGCAGACAGTGGGGAAGAAATAGAGAAATTTGAGAAGCAGAAGTGCTGATCCAGCTAAATACGTATGCCTGCAAGGGGAAAACTAGTCCTGATTTGAAACACGGAATGACAGCCTGTGATCTGACCATTACTCCTTCGAGAGGGGGCAGTGGGGTTCTAGAGGATGGTACCATGAAGATTCTACACAGTAGAGGTCCAAAAAAAAAAAAAGGTAAATGAAATGTTGGGGTTGTTCTCTCTTCCCTTCCTAATAAGAGAGAACATCATCATACCACTGCCTAAATCATGCTTAATCTGGACGTTAAATCCTGGCTGCAGTTCTGGCAGTTCCTCCCCAGAAGATCATATTAGAGCCAGAAGAGCTTCAGAGAATGGCAAAAAGAAAGATGGGAATGGCTGAGTAAGCTGGGAAAGACACAATCTAAAGAGTGGTGCAGGAAAGGTCTACAACATCCCGAGAGGCAGGGAGAGAGGGGGCAGTGGCTGTCACTCTCTTTTTCCAAGAGATGAACAAGAGCCATCTGATGAAGGTAGCGAGAGCCGCGCTGCAAACAAATGACAGGAGCTGGTATACTTACAGCAGAGCAGACCTGTTGAACTCCTTGACAATGGGTGTTGTAAATACAGCAGGTCTGTGTGGGGTCAGGAGGAGACTGTGAAAGTTCTCACAAGCTGGAACAGTGCTGGGGTTGGGGAGGTATCATGTAAGTCTGTGTCTCTTAGGCTTTCTTCCCTGGGTATGCACTTATAGGCACCGTTACATACAGGATAGTAGCCTAGACATTTGAGCCAGTGCAGCTGTTCTTAGATGAACAATATTTTCCCACTTCTCTATTTACAATGACTCCAAAAATCAGTTATGGACAGAGTTTGATAAATACAGTACAGCTCAAATCTTTTTTGAGTGACAGTAGAAAAATTATATCAAACAAAATTTTTATCAACTAAATAGCCCAAATTTTCTACTAAAAGTTCAAACTTCAGCACTTGACTGCCACTGGAGCAGGAGTTCAAATCTAGTATGAAAACCAAACATATATAGATGGAATTATTGAATCTTTTCCTCCTGGTTTTGCAGCATGAACGGGACAGACTGCAAGCAGTTAAAGAAAAACTGGTATGGGAGATAAAACTTCTTCAGGAATCAGTCACAGTCTCTGAAACCCGAGCAAATACAGCAACAGATATGAATCACTCCCTTGAACAAGAACTCCAAACTACGCTGTCTATCTTAAAAATTAAAAATGAGGAAGTGGAAACGCAGTGGGAGAAAATCCAGATGCTACAGAAAGAGGCAGCAGAGGTAAAAGCTTTGCAGGAGAATCTCACTCGTATGACTGCCATCCTGTCAGAGAGGGAGGGAGAAATGAAGTTATACCAGGAACAGATGAGAATGCTGGAAAAGCAGAAAGAAATGCATAAAACTACTCTCGATCAGGTTATGAAGGACGTAACAGAGGAAAAACAGAAGACAGAATCCCAGCAAGAACGCATAGAGGAGCTGGAGAAGCAGCAAGAAGAACAAAGGATTTCTGTAAGCAAGATGAGCAAAGAGCTGGAGGAGAGAGACCAGGAGATCAGATCCCAGCAAGAACACATACAGGAGCTGGAGAAGCAACAAGAAATGCAGACGACTGCTGCCACCAAGATGAGTAAAGAGTTGGAAGACAGGGAGCAGGAGATCAGATCCCAGCGAGAATTGATAGCAGATCTGGAGAAGCAGCGAGAAATGCAGGGGACTGCTGCAAACAAGATGACCAAAGAGCTGGAAGACAGGGAGCAGGAGATCA